CGCGAGTGGATTGGTAGGATTTGGAAATGGTACTTCCGGTGATAAAAAGGAACCAAAGGTAATAACACCATATACATAAATTTATTTATCCTTTATTGTTTGTATTTACATTAATAATGTTTTAGCTAATCCAAGAAATAATTGTTCATACTCATAGGCAAATCGTTATAACAAATTTGCCGGTCGTTATGCTGCAAGTATTAATAAAAATTTTGGTTCACCATTCTTATTATTCATCATTCTATACCTTCGAAGAGATATTTTTTATATGTCTCTTGAATTGAAAAAACGATGGGCAAACTTGTTGGAAACTATATGGACGGTATGTAATTATATTTTGATTGAAATTTTAATTGATTTCTGATCATATTATTTTTACTTGGTTCACAGAAAATCCAGAAGCCAACTGATCCTGATGTACATGCAGTATACTTACTCATTCGCGGCGTCTTTGAAAAATTCCTTAATGATGATCCTAAAATTGCTCAAATGTCACTCTGTGAGTGTTTAACTTTTGAAGTTGACGTTGTTAATGAGACTTGGGTTATACCCCATTGTAGATATGAAGTAGGTTTACATAATTTATCATATGAGTGTTAATATTTTAGAATCATTGAGGAATAATGAATATGAACCCTCACAAAATATTATAAAATTTTTAATAATATAGCTTGGTGAACTGTTTTATAAAAAATTGGGAGACCAAGATGCGGCCATGGAACAATTTCAATGGATATTAAAAGGTCCAAGGTCCACATCTCGCAGTGGTATAGTCGCACGTCGAGATAGTAATGTATCAATGGGTTCAAGATCATCAACTGATTCTAATGCATCGGTGCATAATAATCCGGATAAGTTTAAAAAATATGAATTTATTAAAGCTTTAAAACAACGATGTACCTTAGCAGTTGAACAAATTCGTAGTGGAACATTACAGCCTACAAATGTATTAACACAATGTTCGCCGCAATACACATCTTTGTCACAAATGCGTCATAATAGAAAAAAGAGT